GCTTTCCCAGGGCCCGCTGCGAGGCCGCGGCTGGGCGGGGAGCGGGGCCGCCGCGCCGCGGTGACGGGCGTGAGGCGCTCTGTGCGATTCACTGTTCCGTGCTGAATGAAACCGCGCTCGAGCTCGGCAGCAGGCGAGCTCCTTTACGCTGCTCCGGTGCTAGAACATGTTTCCAGTGTCTGGTTTATTCACGGAACATACTGAGGGTAACCTTGTCCGGAGTTCTACGACACTCCTAAATTGCCTTTTCATTCCCCAAGCCTGAATTCTCTCGTGAGTGTGGAGCTATTTACCTGTCTATGATAGGTAAATCATAAAATTTTACCTTTTAAGGTACATCCGTGTGATGGGAGACTGACGTGCAGAGATAATTGCAGTCCTTTTTGCTATGAACGACAATACAGCAGCCCCGCCTGTGCTCAGTCAAACACTTGCCATAAGCCTCTGTCATCGTGGATGTCCTTACGATGCCCCGCCTAATTTTTCTCCAGTCGGGTACATTCTCTCTTGGCTCCGGATAAGCACTACCTTGTGATCCCAGGTACCAGCCAGTTTGTCATGGAAGCTACTCACTAATAAATTTGTTACCAGAGCCAAGGAATTTATCCTAGTTTTAGTTTACTTAAGTGCTATTTAGATGATTTCAGAGCAATGTAAACTTGGTAAAGCTTGAAAATTGCTGTCAGGCCATTAATTACTTTTCTCCCCACACCGGACCCAAAGCAAAGTCGGCTGAGACCAAGTATTAGTTGCATTATTCTTGTATAAACTATTACTTCTGGTGAGTAGCACTTCTACCCAACTGTATTTCTATCTCATTTGACTGGGACACCCCCAGATTTCACAGTTTCCTCAGCAGCAGTCCTGAAAGCTATTTTCTATTATTCATCTGCTTCAGATTGGAATGTACAGAAATTGGGCTGGTTCAAGAATGATTACCTAGCCACATATAAATTTGGGCATTTTGGAGCCCATACCTTATAGCCTTTTTAAACTAGGACCATTTCTTTTTCCTAATCAGAACTTAAACCTAGGTGAACCCTGCCAGTATAAATGTTGCCCCTGACATTGCTAGCCTTTGTTGTTGGAGCTCATAACTTTTTGAATATACAATTTTCTCAGATCTTGGAGTTTAGCAAATATAAGGTCAGCTAATTTAAACAAATCCTGAATTCTAACCTGTAATTTTTTGGTGGGTTATGCAGTCTGGTTTCTTCTGAATCCTTTTGGTAACATAGATAATAGGCTCACCCCACAGTAGCTGGCACTAGCTCCAAAATGTTAGGTATCTTTTTTAATCAGTGAAATTTCTCTAGATTTCATTAGTTCTATTCCTTTGGTTTAGACTTTCACCACCCAAAGACTAAATATAGCCCATGACACTTACTAGCACAATCCATACCTTAATTCATCTTTTTTTCTGACTGATTTGGGAGTCCTTTCTCAGAGTTTTCTAGAGACACGAACTTACAGTATAACCTATCCTCAACCTTACTTTCCTACTACAAACTCTTTCCATAATCAGCTTACCAACTCTATGTTTAAACGAAGCATAGTGATTTTAGCAGGTACTACTTTTCTGTCCAAACTCACAGCCCTTACCAACCACAAACAGAAATGCGACCTTATGACCCAAACTAGCACAGGTGATATGCTGCTTAAATCCTCTGTTAGGTCTGATTTGAGAGGTTCCATAGTGAGAAATGCTGGCACCTGGCCTTACCGTAACTCCAGTCCAGACACTTGTTCTGAAACGTTTTTTTCTAAATATCTGTCGTAGCAAGGCACAGGGTAGTCATGCTTGGAAGAAAGTTTCAACAGCAATTTACCTTGTTTCTAGCACTATGAGCTTTGCTGGAGACAACGTAATTGTACCAGGTTCCCCTTTTCTGCACTTGCCAGCTCTTCATGGGCTTCTTTGTAACCCTAGGCTACTGGGTTAAATTTAAGGTTCTAAGATGTACAAAGACATCAGCAGGGTGACAGTTAACCTGCAATCAAACTGAAGGGCAGGCTGTTGCCAACAAGTATCTGTTGCTTTATTTTATTTCTCGCTCAAAGTCCCTAGTGCTATCCCAGTGCCGGGTTAAGGGGTGGCGGAGAGCTCTATTTCAGGGTGAGAGCTACTGGAGCTTTGGTGGAAACTGCTAAGGGAAGGAACACAAAATTGAAGAGCTGGTGCTGATAAACAGACTCGGCTTCTTCTCTTAACAGGTTTCTAACTTCACTGGGCTATGGTTGGTGTGTGACTGGTTTCAGTGATTAGAGAATGGCAATAAATAAGGTAGTGATCTTATTAGAAAGGGAACAAAAAAAATGCAGCAGAGATTGTTGCCCTCATGTGTCCAGGCTCCATTTCTGCTTGCAGTTTATGGAACTTGATGGATTTTTATTCACTGTTAAATTCTAGGTTGCTTGTAATTTCTAAAATGTAGCTCGTCATACTTAAAATTGTAATAACTAGAATTCTTTATATGTGCTTTTGTCATGAACATGCCAGAATTATATTCCATGCATTGTTTGTATCATTTACACTGTTACACATACAAAGACAGCTGAATACAAACAAGTAGTAAGATCTGGCAGTTATTGTTATATTGCAAATGTGGGGTTTGTTAGTTTCCTGTATGTGCGTAGTTAACTTAGTAACTATGAAACATTTGATTAAGAAGGTGGCAGAAGCAAGAGAAAGTAACTCTTTCGTGTTAGCATGCTGAACATCTATTCCTTAGTCCAGCACTAAAGAAGCCTGACCTTAACTAAGGCTTCCTGGGTGCAGTGAGGATGCCACTGCATCTTTGATGTGCTCCTGGTAAGTAACCAGCACATCCAAAATCAGTACATTCAAGAATGACTTTGGCAGCTCAGAAATATTAATTGCTGATTTTATTCCTAGAAATATTGCAACCACACTGCAGTATGGTTAGAAATGACCCAATACTCTGGGTCATAACAAAGTTTTAAAGTATAATCAACTAATTTTATTTAGCTACCTTGTGGTCTTTTAGTTCTGTCCATCTCCAACTAGATGGTGCTTCAAGCCTCGGTTGTACATAGTGATACTCAATATTTAATTTTTTTATATATAGATACTGTGTGTTAAACTGCTAGATAATGGTGTGACAGTATCACACCACCTACAACTGTACAGCTGTACCCAGGCACTGTGAAAAAGGCCAGCATAATTATAAACAAGGCTTTAGATTTAACTTATTGAGCTTCCTGAGCAAAACAGCTTCTGATTAGGCCAGATGAGAAAAAAATAAAAGTTTATTTCAACTACACTCTGTAGAATATATTTTTGCATTACTGTGTGGTTTTTGTCCTTTTTTTGGAAAGTGATCACGTAAATCATGAATGATACAGATTACACCTTTGATAATGAAAATGCATAAATAAGGTGTAACAAATCTTTGGGTTCTGTACATCTACACAGAGCAACAAATGAAGGAAGTTGTCAATAATGAGCATATCGCCTCAAGGATGTTGTTCATGTTCCTGTATTGCAAAGGTAAATTAGTCTAATTCTCTCAGGTCAAGAGTCACAAGCCTGAATCACTGTTAGTAGTTGTGTAAATCATGGAAATGTGATTGCTGACTAAGTCATTGCAAGCTTATATTCTTGTCAGCTTCGTTTACCTAAGCACACAAGTAACTAATATGTTAAATATATGTTTGCTATATAAAATGGTGCTCTAAATAGGCGAAGGCAGGTGCTTTCCCTTTTTATTCATTATTTAGTACCTACTGTTGCATATTCCCTTTCAGTGCACAATCTTTAAGCAATATTTTGCTGATACATCTCATAATACTTATTATACAAGCAGCATAAGGCTATAATATGGGTAATGAGGGCTGTGTATGTATGATCTGA